TCGCCGTTAAGCAAATTCATAAATCTATTCAGCCGGTGTCTACAAATCTTCATTTAAGGTTTAACAGTCAAAATGTCGAACTGAACTGTCAAATCGAAATAGAAGTCAAGCTATCACACGAACGAAAACGGATTTGAAGAGAATTTTGGCAGCTCGTTGAGCCCGTTAAGAGCGTCATGTGGAAGAAAATGTTTAAACGGTTAGTGTTTTAAGTACGTGGTATCTCTGGTTTGTTGTGTTTCATTTCATCAAAAAAAATTAATGCAGAGTCTCAAGTTGACATTAGCTTTCTTATGCAAATATGATACCACTAGTAGGATTGGAATCGTTTAAAATGAAGAAAAAAAGAAACAGTTCGCTGATCTTAGCTTAATGTCACGTTAAATGTGAAAGTAGGTTACTGGCACATGTCGAATCCAGTGGCACGAATTCCTTGGTATATAGGGAGGTCTTAAGTGCGGTTATTCTTTCGCGATTATTCCACCTTTGTGATGGCATAGTTCTACTGAGGATGAGGATGGAGATTTACAACTGTGTAGCTGAGTCTTGTTGAAGGTATTGCTCAGTGTATTGATTTCTTTGTATGATTGGCAAAATGGGAGTAAAATTTATTATCTAAAGTAAACGTGAATCGAATTTCCATTATTCAGAATTAATAGTGATGATCGTGAATGATTTTGTTTCAGAAATATTTCCCGCCTTTAAGAGTTTGAAACTTAAAGCCTCAATCAACTCGCCATCTCTGTGTCTTCACGTCAGATGAGTCATGGCTGCGCTGGAAAATGCTGTGTTTTCTTTAAACGACGCAAAGGTTTTCATCGAGTATTAAATGAACCTTGGAAAAAGACACAAAGCATGGCCCGAGAGGCTGGAAAATTTCGATGTATGTATTCTGTTATGCCGATCAAGGTTACTTAGGGGTACACATTGTTGTATAGAGCTGTATTGTGATGTAAACTGCAGTACCGAGAAGTATAATGCTATCTAGGGGTAGATATTGTTGTATAGCGCTGTATCGTGATGTAGGGCGCAGAAGAGGGAAGTACAGTGGTATCTAGGGGTACCTATTGATGTATAGCGCTGTATAGTGATGTAAATTGCAGAAGAGAGAAGTATAGGATATATGTTGTTTTATAGCGCTGTATTGTGATGTAAATTGCGGAAGAGGGAAGTAAAGTGCTATCTAGGGGTACATGTTGCTTTTTATGATCCATCAAATATTTTTGCCCGCGAGCAATTGGTGTAAACGCAGCAAGTAACTAAATATCCCACAGCTAATACTGGGTGATATCCGAGAATATCACGCAAGCGATATTCCCCAATTTGTAAACCTTACGTCCACCTCGATAAGTCTTCGTTTAAACTTTAATTCAATTCAGTGAGCTGTTCATAAAGATTTTTTCACGAGCGTTGCAAAATAGTTGAAGGATAAAAATCACAATAGCCTCTATTTTGCACGAAAATATGTACAGATATTTGCCCTTGGACATTGTCTGTCCCTCGATGGTCTCAGTTTTGGCATCTTGGAACAGACAATGTCCGCTGACAAATATCCTCAATTATTTTCGCGCCAAATTGGAGCAATAGTTTATAGAGCGCTGTATGGTGATGTAAAATTCAGTAGAGGGAAGCACAGTTCTATTTAAGGGTTCATATTGTTATGATACGCTGCACAGTTACTGCATTTTACGGATTTACAGTGCTACTCAGGGGCATAATGTTGTATTGTGCTGTATTATGATAAAAGTTGCAGTAGAGGGATGTATATTTCTGTTTAAGGGAGGGGGAGAGGGGCATATAGACGTCCGTATTGGAGGGGTTTATTCTACAACGTAAAGAGACATGGAGTCGAATAACCGACGGAACGTGTTTGCTCATAATGAATCTCTCGGGCTGTTATCGACTACCTCTTAGGAAGCATTACAATAACTTAACCTTTCTTAATTATTGTTTAGTCAAAACTCTTTTACAAGGTCCTCTCTGCGTCTACATCCAAGATGGCGGCTATCGACTCGGAGAAGTCTGTGGATTGGCCTGCTGCCATCTTGTATTCGCGATGTAGGTGGACCCTGGGCGAGAGTTTGATCCATTCAATCAGATGATAGAAAGAAGCCTTAATTTGGACATTGAAGGACTCGTTTCCAACAAAATGCATCGATTATGTCGCAGAGACTTGGAGGGAGCTCTTTCGTTTTATAGCTCCTACTGTGATGAGAGGACTGAGGAGAGCAAACACTGGCAAGTGAGACTTAAAATTGAGAGAACCTGTGGACTAGGAATGAGTAGAAAGGAAAACTGAGATTTTACCAGAAATGATGCTAAGAGGACACTATCCTAAAGTGAACAAAATAAGCATAATAACAACTACTCTGGGGGAGTAAGGAGGTATATGAGTTGTAAGAGAACTGACGTTGCGCGAGGATTGAGACGAATGAAAACTGAAACAGACAAGGAGATAGTCGCGTCTAATGAAGCGCGCAGAAGAATAAAGTTGAGGGCGATGAAAGAAGTGCGCGTAAAAATGGGAATAAAGGAAAAGTACGATGAAAAAAAGGGAAGGAACAAAAGGAAGGAGAAAAAAGAGATGCGCAAATGTGAAAAGGTGTAAAAACTTGTGTGAGGATAAAGGTAAAAAGGGCGCACACAGGTAACAGTATGAACACGTCCGTCGGCATTCAAAATCGTGTGATAATATGGAGAACGGTAGACAGTGAAAGAGACACAATCGAAGAGGTGGCGAGCGTTTGTTAAGTGGGTGGGGGCTTGAAACATGGAATGTCAGAACACTGTCAGCTGCAAAGATTATCAACTTGACGGGTCAAAATGAGCATTGAAGTCCCCATAGGATCTGTTCTCTCTACATCTCACGTGAATCCCTAGAATATGGAGACAGACAATGAAAATCAACGCAGTTTTTGTATTTTAGACGCTGTATATCTCTCTTACACAAAAAAGTAAAAAAAAGTACAATACAAACTGCATTAAATTGTTCACGGCATTAAGTAAAGTACGCGCTAAACAGAGACACTAAAATGAACCCATTTATTCCCAAGACTGATCATAACTTAAATTCTCCTCACAAAATCAATGCACCGACAAACATGGTGTCAATACGAATTAGAGAAAATCTAAACTGGAGGATTATTTTTCACTAGAAACGTTATGTTTCATCGAATTCCCAGAATGAAGCGACAAAGAAACACATTCTTATCAGTTGGGAGAATTTTTCTCCAGAACTTGGGAGTTAATGAGTTAATGAATAAAAACTAAGGTAAATGGACAAATAGCTTCAACTTTAAATACAAATAGCATCAAAACAATTCACACGAAATACACTGACATTATAAAAAGCATATTTAATTAAAACTGTCCCAGCTTGTTGTTAAAATCCTACGTTACATCATATTCAACCGTGTGCGAGGTTAACTATTACATTTTATACCAGCATATACCAATGGCAGTTATGAAAACCTGCCAAAAATTAAGATTGATTTTATAAAAATTTCTTTTAAAACAGCCGCGATACATTATACCTTAAACTTTTGACCACATAACGGGTTCTAATCACAAAGCGTGCTCGGAATACCTAAGTATAAATTCTTAAATCTAAGAAAGATATCATCCGACATCTTCAAATTATACTAAGGTAAATTTAAAGCCATGAAAAAAATTTGAACTTGAAATTTTCAAAAAAATGCAAGTTTTATCCTGAAGCCGTCAACCTTTTTACTGCGGTCTACATTTACATTTATTCATAAACATTTTCACCAGAATAATTCCCATTGAGGACTACATGGCTTACTTCAACTGTTTCCCTAATTTATTAGCGTAAACATTTTCCTACTAGAAACAACAAATTCCATGTCACATACATTAAAAGTCACAGCTATGGAAACTTCAGTTAAAGTAAACTCTGCTTCGCTATTTCCTTGTTTAGATTACATGGACAATTTGTTTGTCGTGGTTTTTTAAAACAAACAGATGAGTGTTTGATAAAACGGACTAAAATTCATCAAACTCGTTTGATTGAAAGCAGGCCGTTGTAGTCAGCTCTTTGACTTGTTGTAGGCCTTTTTCCTGGGAAATTTCAATTTTTGTTTCAACATTTGTAAGAGTCATATCAGAAAAGTCAAGTGGGCGGAAAACAATTGTTGGCCGGGCCCACGGGACTAGAGGCTGGCCACACCCTTGAGAGTAGGTCTAATGTCTCTAACATATGGTCAGTAAATTCAACAACATCAACAACATCATCTCTGATGATTACTTCTTCAAATTAAGCTTAGAATGGCAATCTTGGCACTGATGGAATTAGATTGCATTAAAATGAATTGAAAAAAAGTTGAAAATGATAATCAATTTTTTTGTAATTGCAAATTGCAACAAATTAATTTATGACGTAGAAAAACCATTAAGATCAATTCACATATGGCTGCGAATTTTTGCAAATCACATTTATTAAATTAAAATTTCGCCACCTTTTGCAAATGACAAACTGTTTCTTTGCTTATCAAAAGCTTAGAGTATTAACGTAATTAAAACCCGGTCGACAAGGTCCTGGTTGTGTACAAGAAAAAAACCTTTAAATTATTTTACACACAACTGATTACAATAAAGGAATAGATCTGAGTGTCATTTTGGCGAAACGAAAACCTCGTAGTCGCCTTCAACAACTTCAGGCATTAACAACAGAAGCCTTGTTGCATCTTGTTCTCTTCGCAAGCATCTAAATTTGTAAAGGTAAAAAAATAGCAATTCCACTGAACAAAATATACTGAAATAGTCTGTTTTATTTCTTCATCAAAGTAAAGTCACACATCTCAAGTTCCATTTAACAAAAAAGTGAAAAGTAATGAAAAATAGCCAAAAAGCGCCAAAATAGAGAAGCATTTAAACCTTCCGAGTTCCTTCGTCGTTCATTTTGAGATGAAATAAAAAGTTTTCATTTATGTGATTTCATATTTAAATTTTCTCTTTCCTTTGCCATGAAGTCAAGAGTGACGTCATCTCGGCGCCCAGTGTTTGATGTCGCAGAACTTGTTTGATTCTCTGAGGCTTTTCATGGCCAGGTTCAGTGACTCGCTTGCTGGTTTACCTCCTGCAAGTTGTTGATAAAAGTATTTCATGAACTCAAGAGTAGCCTCGTCATCAATCGCCCACAGGGATACCACAACAGACCGAGCACCAGCCCCCATAAAAGCGCGCGCAATGCCAACCACACCTTCAGCCTTGATCTCGCCCCGGCCGCTGTGGCAGCAACTAAGCACAACAAGTTTGGCCCGAAGTTGAGCATTCAGCACATCTCCAGTTGTTAAAATGTAATCCTCCTCCGTTGGCACAGTAGATATTCGGTCTGGGTCAGGTGTAAGAGCAATTTCGCCAGTTTCCATACATCCGTGTGCCGCAAAGTGAACTAAGGAAACGGAACTGAGTCTTTTCAACACCTCACGTTTCGTGGCCTGTCTGCCAGTGATTGGCGTGATATTCAGAATTTTTCCGATCATTTCTACTTCTTCTTTAGCACACGGAAGCTGCTCGAGGACTTTCTCTCCCTCGCTGTTAGTAACCTCGGATACCCACGGATCTCCTACAAGTAACGCACCACTGCTTTTGTGATAATCATCTGGGCAATCGGCAATGAGTCTAAGACTTGCTAACGATGGAGCGACTCGGATTGTGAACGATTCACACAGATATTTAGAATTACCATCCTTCAATGCAGCGTAAGGAGCGATCCACAGGGGTCCATCAGGAATAATGAGTAGCTCATCCCCTTCAATCAAGTCAGCCACCGGCTTCATAACGATATCATACAAAGTGCTCAAGCATCCGTCTTGTTGGATGTGAGGTTGAGGGTTGGCTTCTTTGGTTTTCTCATCCACTTTTGAACGGCCCTCCCTCAAAGCATCTAAAGATCGATTCTCGCATCTCACATTAGAACGAACACCAAGTTGTGTATAGACACCGAGCATGAACGACTCAAAGGACTGGCTAGATCCATCATTCTCTGAAACAAAACCTTTGAGTTTACTTTGTCTTACCCGAACTTGTTTTCCTTCGGAAACAACCCAAAGATTGACGTTAGCTTTGTCCACTGCCTGAAAGACAGTGTTTGATGGAACGTTTTTTAGAACTGTGAAATCTTCATCTTCTCCCCTGCAGTGACTTGTTCCACCACAAAAAATGGATTCCATGAGGTCGGTCAGAGCTTGAGCTCGTCCTTTCTCCGCAACAAATAAGGCTTCATCTACATTACCTTGTTCTACGAGAACTCTCCACAAACCCGTATACCCCATTTGATGCTGATTTCGAAAATTAACTTTCCACTCATCTTTAGATTTTAGAAGTACTCTCAAGGAATTGAATAAGTTTATGCTAGCTTGATAATGTTCAACGGCTTTTGGCAGTCCACCTTGCAACTCAAAAACGCATCCTAGTGAAGAGTAGGCCATTGCCTCAAAGGATTTGTCTCCTACTTCTTTAGCTATTTTAAGAGCTAGGTTGTAGTACTCTATGGCTTTTTTTAAATCACCCAGACTGCGATAAGCATTGCCAAGATTGCCATAAGCTTTACCCTCCCCATGCTTGTCTCCTACTTCTTTAGCTATTTTAAGATGTAGGTTGTTGTACTCCATGGTTTTTTTTAAATCACCCAGACTACTATAAGCATTGCCAAGACTGCTATAAGCTTTACCCTCTCCATGCTTGTCTCCTACTTCTTTAGCTATTTTAAGATGTAGGTTGTGGTACTCTATGGCTTTTTTGAAATCACCCAGACTAATATAAGCATTGCCAAGATTGCCATAAGCGTTACCCTCCCCATGCTTGTCTCCTACTTCTTTAGCTATTTTAAGATGTAGGTTGTGGTACTCTATGGCTTTTTTGAAATCACCCAGACGGTGATAAGCATTGCCAAGATTGCCATAAGCGTTACCCTCCCCATGCCTGTCTCCTACTTCTTTAGCTATTTTAAGATGTAGGTTGTGGTACTCTATGGCTATTTTGAAATCACCCAGACTAATATAAGCATTGCCAAGACTGCTATAAGCTTTACCCTCTCCATGCCTGTCTCCTACTTCTTTAGCTATTTTAAGATGTAGGTTTTGGTACTCTATGGCTTTTTTGAAATCACCCAGACTAATATAATCATTGCCAAGACTGCTATAAGCTTTACCCTCTCCATGCTTGTCTCCTACTTCTTTAGCTATTTTAAGATGTAGGTTGTGGTACTCTATGGCTTTTTTGAAATCACCCAGACGTTGATAAGCATTGCCAAGATTGCCATAAGCGTTACCCTCCCCATGCTTGTCTCCTACTTCTTTAGCTATTTTAAAATGTAGATTGTGGTACTCTATGGCTTTTTTGAAATCACCCAGACTACTATAAGCATTGCCAAGATTGCCATAAGCACTACCCTCCCCATGCTTGTCTCCTACTTCTTTAGCTATTTTAAGATGTAGGTTGTGGTACTCTATGGCTTTTTTGAAATCACCCAGACGTTGATAAGCATTGCCAAGATTGCCATAAGCGTTACCCTCCCCATGCTTGTCTCCTACTTCTTTAGCAATTTTGAGATGTAGGTTTTGGTACTCTATGACTTTTTTTAAATCACCCAGACGGTGATAAGCATTGCCAAGATTGCTATAAGCGTTACCCTCCCCATGCTTGTCTCCTACTTCTTTAGCTTTTTTAAGATATAGATTGAGGTACTCTATGGCTTCTTTTCCCCGATTATAGAGATCTATGACTTTCTTGACATCACCTGAACTTGCACTACCATGGTCATGACTAATAGGATCTTTTTCCTCCATGGACTTATCTCCCACTTCACTGACAGACTGAAGTCTTAATGACAACAAGATCCTATTGTTTTTGTCAATCTTTTTTATGTTAAGGGTAAAAAATGTGGAAAAAACAAAAAAGATTATGTTTCTGATCATATTGATATGTAATAGTCCATTTTAACATTTGCGTGCTTGGTTCCCAAGCCTCTGAACAAGAGGGATGATAAAGGGTGACCTTGTTATGATAAAAACATTGCTGCTTTTTAAATGCAAACTACTTTGTTATTATCGTTTCTAGACAAATTTTGTCTGGAAATTAAAGGGTTATTTAAACTAATGTAACAGTTATTGGCATGGATAGTAGAACTAAGTCAAATTGGCTAAAAGGAGTAATTTCATTAATAAGTCATGAGGTAATAACGTCTCCTATATTTTTAATCACACACACTTAAAGTATATGAGCTGACAAGTTCCCATCATAATTAATACCCTTCTTTGCATTTTCTCCCTTGAAACATCAAATTATGGAAACTTTTTTTATACCCACAGTTAAAAATGAACGATTCCTTCAAAGGATACAACTAGTCCCTCATCACACCAACTGATTGCTTCTTCAAATCTCTTCAATTCAACACAAGCAGCGGCTCCTGTAGGCAACAACACAAAGAAGCATACTATTACTGTAGCTCAATTCTGAGAAAAGAACCTGGAACCATTGAAATCATTACAGACCAGAAGAAAAAAAAAGACAAAACAAAACAAAACAAAGAAACTAAACGGAAAAGAATAAACAGGCTCTATTAGGTTTCAGTTAGATTTATTTACCTTTACAGACAACTGAAACTTCTAAGAACACTTAAATTGGGATCAACAACTCCCACAAAAACACTAAGAGTTAGGTAAGTCCTGATCCTTCTTTCTAAAACAGCTAGATAGTGATTTAAGAGCGTGTCCACGAGAGCACCGGGCGGTCGTGCTACATGCCATCTCACCGATTTCAACGAAACTTTGTCAGTTTAAAGGCTCTACCCCAAAACTAAAAAAAAACAGACTGGTTTCTGTTTTGGTTTTTTCCGTGGGGAATCTGAAATCTGAAAATCATCAAAAAAATCTTTGGGCACCACCGTATTTTTGTCTTGGATACCTTTTAAAATCTGCGATTGTGACAAGTTTCTCTCAACTACACCTGTCACGCACTTCTTGCTCTAGGCGGTCACTTGACAAAATAAACCTACATTTTTTAGTTCTTTATACAAGATGATTGATCAAGAAAGGTGAAAAATGTTAAAAACGTTCGAGATTTTTTGTAGGAATGGAAAATTTCACGTTTAGAGAGATGCATGTTGACGAAAAATCAATGGGAAAATCGTTGCGTTTCTTTCTTCAGTCGTTTATTACTTTCAAGATTTGCTAAAATCAGGACATAGGGCTCTTGTACAGAACAAAACATTCATTAGCCTATAGTTTGATCGTCTATTATCATTATCGCACAGTTTACAATAAGGAAACTGTAACAAGAGAGGAGATTTTAAAGTCACGTGTCGCCTGCTTGTTGACGTACAAGTTCCCGAGTGTAACAACTTCGGCTTTTCCATACCGCGCATGACGGGAAACTCTGCCCCCCTTATTTGATAGGAAATATCAATAGCCCCATAAATTCATTAACTACGCCGTGTTTCCAGAAAATAAGACTGGAAAATGTTTTTTCCACTTTCCACCATCAAGAAATTCCACGTATAGAAATAGTATTTGTAGGGTTACTGCGTGACTTTTCATGAGAAGTAAAAATTGTTCATCTTTTTTTTTCAAGAAGATACTTCTAGAAAGTTCTTAATCCTTCTGTTATCTTATTTTTCTGTTTTTTGACTGCAAATATCATTTGCATTTGCTATTATTTTCGCTGATTGTCATGGCCTTTCCTGCGTGCACGTGCGAGCTAGTTCATATACAGGACTCTTTCGAGTTTCTCAGGGTGGTGTCGGGTTTAGGTGTGTAGGTCTGGCTCGAAAGATATCTGCACGCTGCAACACGGGTTCCTATGTTTTCTCCTTTTTCTTCATTTGGATTTTCATTCTCTTGCTTGCATTATCACACATTTATGTTTTTTTATTCCCTCAGTGCGTTCCCTCAGATTTGGAAGTAGGCCGTGAAGAGTCAATATTGACCAGAACTGAAATCCTTTTCTATCACTATTTGTTTCAGAGAACCCCCGTCATTTGTGACTTTATTTCTCAAGAAAATGTGTTTTTATTTGCTATTTATTTCCATTAGAACACGAAACTAGGTCCTGATAAGTTTTTTTTGTCTCGTGACTCCCAAAAACTAGGTTTGCGACAACATCAATAAAGAAATCAAAGGCAATTACGCCCTGAGAAATTCGCTTGTAGCCTTCTACCCGCAGAAGGCAACTCCATATAATGAAACGTTCTAAGACCTCTATAAACTAGAGACATTGCGTGATGTTGAGGGGTGAAATATTTACCCTAAATCTGTGACCCTCAAACGGATCACCTACTCGTACATGCAACGTCCGGAAAATGTCACGCATGTATAACACCTAGGCGCACCTGGCGAATTCTATCCATTGGTTTCAATAGCAAAGAGACAACATATTTACTATCTGTATATGAGCAAGCTTATTTACCCTACTTGAAAAAATCCTTGATGAAGTCTACTATTGTCAGACGAAACGCGTGGGAGATAAATACAAGTTTTTACTTTCTCAGTTCGTGCAGTGATGCTCACTAGTTTGTTCCGTCAAAAACGCTTTTAATGTGAAGTCACGTCGACCTCGACAGAAAAATTAAGCTCACCCTGTCATAATCGATGGTTTGATACCGTAAGTACCAATTTAGGTACATCATTGGGCTTTGATCACAATGATAAAAAAAATGTGCGTTTTCTCACGCTTGCCACGTTTATTCTTTAGAAAATTATTTTACTGGAGGGCGATGTCCCTTACCTTGGCGCGTCTCGACTCTGGCCGACGAAAATTATCGAGGTGAACTCCATGAAATTCTAGTCAAATGTTTTAAAAACTTTGTCTACCCTTGATTTGCACGCAGAAAAAAAAGGCAAATTCCGAACGGTATTTCAAAACATTTTATTCATTAGTCAATATATAAACTGTTTTATAGCAGCCCGAGGAAAAAGCAAAATTGAAACAACCGGCGTATCGGTCAAATGAATTCCAATTTTTTCAACAAGGAGTTGGTAAGTTCATTTTTCCTAGTAAATTTAAGTGGGGGTCATTTTTTTGTGACAGCCGATCAAAGATAGACATCTCTGAAACGTCTCTGAAACTCTTTTTAAAAAGAGTTTACACTTCCAGTAATATTTTCCTCCTTCTCGCAACAGCGCAACAGACATTTTAATCCTATGTAGTGTAGGTGTATCAGTTCTATTACGTCTTCATAGTGATGCCATATAAGAAATCGAGTGTCTAAAAAGCCCTCAATTCAACATATCAAACTCTTTCCCCAGTGCGACGAACATTTGTTTTTCTCGGTTCCAGGTGTACGCAACCACTAACCCCACGTAATGCGCATGCTCTCCGTTACGAATTTTCAAAATGGCGGACAAGCCAAAGAAAAAAAAAAACAAAGGATTTTGCAATGAATACTCAACATAAACCCTCGTTGGAAAGGCAAATCCACGGAGGAAAGATACAAAACTGTATGATACTGAGATCGATATGATATTAAATCGATACCGAAAGCCCGTTTCCAACTTGCTAAGAAGCGCATTTAATTGCCTTCCGCCACGATCACTAGCTTTTTGACAGCCTTCTGAAGACAGAATACTTTCTTTCTGAAGACTTCTAATGTGCGGCTATTGATTATTACACCTCGTATACCTGATTGCTCAAACACTTTGTTTACGATTGTTGAAAGGACCGACTCATGGTTCTCCGTCTTCGTCTTTACATTGCTTTGAAATAGTATAGATTAGTAAGCTGAAACGAAAAACTAATCAGGGAAGTTTACGAAAAATCCAGCAAACAAGCTTTAAAAAGGCATTTATTTAGACTTCGTACTTCAACGAACTTCACAAATCTTACTTGTTTATCTTGTAAGTAAACGATGGCAGACTAATTCCCGAAGCGCTTTCTGAGTTTCCCGATCCCTCTCCTACTGCTTTCACGCTTACAAAACAGGAAAAAATCAAAAGGAGGAAGATACAGCTGTTTTGAAATGCCATTTGACGAGGGTAAATCTGCTTTTTGTTCGACACTTTACATATCAAAACAAAGGAAATTTGTTCCTCTTTTTGATTCTGGCGGTACATTTTTAATTTGCGCCTGCGTAAAAGAGATATCGCCCGAGACCCTTCGCTAGGTCGTGTTTTGATAAAAAATGCCTTGTTGATTTCACGCAACCGCTCGGAGAAAAGGTAAAAATGACGAGGGAAAAACTTTACCTTCAAGTTAGAAAATTAGCGAAATAGAAAGCCACAATATTATAGTTTAATATTTCAGAGGTACATTGAGTGCTTTTTCCGTAGAGAATCCGCACGATGGTAAAACATTCGAACATTACACTCGATTTGAGTGGGGTGTTGAAGTGGGCGTGGTCACTACGTGGTCTGAACATCAGTTTTCCTAACTGGTGATTTGTGACTGAGAAGAACTTTATATCATATGATTGCTAGGGATACGCAGGTACTGTAGAGGTGCTCACATAAATAGAGGTGGGCGATCCTCCCTCTGACTTAAGAACTGCGACAAGTTTATAGCGCAGACCAACTGGCACGGTTTGAAGCACCTCAGGGTCTCACTTGGCTCATCACATTAGAAACCTTCAGCAAACTAATCCTAGAAGCGGGTGGTTATCAGCAACGTGCACAGATTTCTGAACGTGGGTCATCGCGAGAACTATACCCAATCCGTCATAGACGGAACAAGAAAGCGAGATATTCTTGCTAAAAGAAGGATGTATCAGGACGTTTCAGTCGAAGCAGGCAAATAATCATAGAGATCTGCAGATTATTCTGAAATTGTTATTTAGCAGACAGCACGAACAACGCGCTTGAATAATTCCTACGGAGAGTCTTCGGTAACAGATGTTAGCTTAGCGGAGTTCTGCATGGAAATGTTCGATGGCGGTAAGTGACAACGACAACACTATTTGAATTTTATTTTCGGGATAGAAGCACAGTTTTTAGTCCGATAGAACTATTGATATTTGCTCTCGAGCGAGAGCGCAGAATTTCTCGTCTGTAAAAGCCGAAGTTGTAGCACACTGGAACATGTAGTAATATCAACCAACACGCAGCATGTGACTTTAAAATCTCCTAAAATGAGCAATGATGATGCTAAACAATCAAATTATAGACTAATGAATTTTTTGTGCCGTATAAAAGCCATATCTGCTGATTTTAGCAAATCTTCAAAGTAATAAACGACTGAAGAAAGAAACGCTACGATTTTCCCATTGATTTTTCGTCTACATGCACCTCTCTAAACGTTAAATTTTCCATTCCTACAAAAAATCTCGAAAGTTTTTCACATTTTTTACCTTTGTTTAACAACCATCTTGTATAAAGAGCTAAAAAATGTTGGTTTATTTGGTCAAGTGACCGCCGAGAGCAAGAAGTGCGTGACAGGTGTAGTTAAGAGAAACTTGTCACAGTCGCAGATTTTAAAAGGCATCCAAGACAAAAATACGGCAGTACCAAAAAGATTTTTGGATGATTTCCAGAGATGAAATGATGGGCTATAAAGGGGAAGATTAGTCTTGTAGCTTTGTGGCAACGGGAGATATTTGACCTCAAAGTTGTCAAATATTTGGATGAATCGAAAAGTCTAAAAACACAGTCGTATATTTGCCTCCGTTGATTGACAAGCCGTCAATCAAACTGACTGATGCTCGCAGCAGACATTAACTAAGGATGTAAAAATATGTGTGCAAATCCTCAAAGTAATCGGTTAAATACCATCGTAGTGAGACCTTCATACATTTTACCTATTTGAAGCGATTTTCTTGGTGAAAACTAAGAAAAAAAAGGGGGGGTTGTCTATCTCCCCCCAGAGAAAAAAAATAGAAAAAAAACAATACAGAAACCAGTTTGTCTTTTTGAGTTTTGGGGTAGACCCTTTAAACTGGCAAAGTTTCATTGAAATCGGTGAGATGGCATCTAGCACGACTCTCCGGTGCTCTCGTGGACACGCTCTTAACATATCTGACACCTGTGACTCATTGAACTTAAGGAACTAAAATATTCATGCGGAAATTTTGCTTTGCATTCCACATTGAGTTCTTCATCCCGTTCAAAATAATATTCTCATCATGATTTAATGGAAAGTAATGGCGTAGCAGTCAAGAGCTGGATTCAAATGTACATCAGGGTGGTCTCGACCTCTTAATTAAAGTCAATTAAGACAAGATTGAACTCCATTTAACCTCATTTAACCTTCGAGTGTTGAGTTCTTTTTTTATTATTATTATTATTATAGTACAGCTAACATATCTAACCTCTCACAATTGCCTTAAGGAAAGTTGGATTTAACTCAATGGCTGCTTCTGCATCCCTTAGTGAATCCTGGTGATTTCCTGTTATTGAAATAAATATCTCTGATTAACCATACATGTTGCAAACCAACTACCATTACTATAATTTTGGGAAAAACCTGTGATGCTCGTTGATATCTGGGGTAAGAGGTTACTTCTTTGTATATTCGAGAGGCCAAGATAAGATGTAAATTTTTCCGGGCATGCATTCAAAATCATCACCTTTTTCAGAAAACTACTACTGAAAACTTAATAGCTTCAAAATAGAAAAAAAAAATGCATATTAAAGTTCTCATTATCTTACCAAGTTTAGAATGTGCAATTGCCCTGTTGTTGTGCAGTTTGACCTTCAGTTCTTTGTCATTGCAGTTCATTTTAATTCCTTTGGTGTAAAAATGAATAGCATTGATGAAATCTCCTTTCTTTAAGGCCTCATTACCCTCATTCCTATAAACATCAGCTGTGGCTGCAAAGAAAAAATAAAATAATTCCAAAAAAAATTAAAAAATGGGTGTCAAAGTCTGTGGTCGTAGTTAATATTTTTTCGTGTATAGTCAGAGCTGCCAAGATCTGGAGATTTCAAATCTGCAGATTTTCAATAGTTCTGATGATGCTAACAATGTAGGTGACAACATGGGTAAGAATAATGATGAGAATTATAAGCATCACTCAACTTGAGACAAACCCCTGGAGATGAGGATTTTGGAGATAGGCTTCCTAAAATTCCTATTCCCTGGGAAAAATTAAGAAAATGTTCAAATGCCCCACACAAAAAGGCGAAATAATTAGTAATTTCACTTTCAACTAGTTGATCAAGCTTTAAAAACTAATTGAACAAGCTTTAAAATCTAGACCTTGAAGCCTTATTTCTTCTGAGGCATTTGTTAGTGAAAGTGCACTATCTGCCTTAAACACCTCCATATTCAATAATAATTAACACTTGTACTCTACTGGAAATTAGATGTTACAGTTTTTATTCAAATTCCCTAACGCCAGGCAGGCAGGGATAAACCCCCCCCACCCTCTTTGGCTTGGATGAAGATCAAATGCCTGTGAGTTGCTCGAGGAGAGAGGAGGGAATGTTGAAGGTTTCAAAGTGATTATGTTTCATTAAAATAGAAAGATGATGGTGATGATGATGATGGTACCTATGATGCAAACTTACAATGGATGTTATATGATGATCAAATAAAGTCTTAACTTATTATAACTTTGTGTTATTGCTTTGAACTGTTAGAAAAGAAAATAGCAAAAGTTTCTGTGTCATAGATCTTCTCAATGAACAGCATATTGTAATCATAGAAGAGAGTCATGACTGGCCAAATATCCTTTAAAGTGGTCATACAGTGTATGTATCCTTCTCCACATCTGCTTGCATTCTTGAAACTGATCGAATAGAAATTGCTCTAACAATAACTGAAGCCGAAGTTGAACCTAGCTCACCTCGTAAAGTGTCCTCGTCAAAATCTGGTGCATTTTCTTTTGTCAGGTAAGTCTTCATTTTCACATGGAACTTTAATTGAACTTCTTCCTGTAGCCATAGCAACTGTAAGAAGACTGATGCTTCTTAAAAGTTGTTCTTTTAAGTCATCCTGGCCTGAAAAAAAGGTGATTGAAAATGGTTGTAAACATCAGTTCAACATATTACCCAGTAGCAAAATAAATATTATTTCCCTTCTGAGAATGGGAGGGATACATAGACACAAAACCAGAAGCCAGTTAAGAGCTAATGTCAACATGCATCAGACAAACAGCGGCCAGTCGCCCAAATTCGTTTTCTCTCCTACTTCCATATTTTGTAGCCCAATATGTCCCAATAATTGTGGTATAGGTTTTTTGTGAAAATATATTTTAGTTTTTGAGAAATGACTTTTTTTCGTTCGACCGCTCAAATATGCAAATTTTCACTCTGAATATTACCCGAGTTGTGTGACCTCATGTAACGAATTTACTTGACCTCCGGTATTTGTGTTGACACAATCCTTTGTTTTATCATCTAAACTTAATCCCCTGACATTATTGAGGCTGGCACAAAAATATTTATTTTTGGTGAATATTTTTGTCCGACATACTTTTTCTATGTCGAAAAGTAGCATCAAAACAAAGACAGAGGATGGTTATAAGGTTACTGTAAAAATTTTCTTGTGTAATTGTGTTGTTCTATCGTGAGACGAACTCAAAGTCCGGCAAAATTTATTTGCTAGCGACTATGAAATATACATGGTGTGTTTATTTGTCGCCACCTTTTATTGGCATATGGAGGCATAAATCGCTACAATTTGAAAAAAAATCTAACTTAACACTCTTACCTAGTTTATTTATGATTTTATAAGACCAGTAAGCTGTTTCGGTCATTATATTACGCTTGGGTATTACTTCTTGCCGGGAGCCCAGGTTTTACGTTGTGTTTTCCCCTATCCCAGCTATATCAGAAGCTAGTCACGCAATAATTGATACCAACACAAATGAATCTTTACCCTGTATGAAGATTTTTGTTTATGTTGAATTGACAATATTACAATATGTTACTTTTGCGGTCACTAATCGTTGTTTCAGTGGCAGCGTAACAGTTCAAAGCGGGTTGTTGCTTCAACGCTATGGAAATTTATAGTGTTCTGGCAGGAAAGCATAGCATGATGCTCTGGGAATAAAAACTCCTAGGGGCCTTTTACATAATATCGGAATGAGGTTTGTTCAAGAATGAGTTTATCTCGGTTGCCACATGATACCAGAGTAAAATTATTCGAAACGAGTCATTTCTGAATGAGTTAACTGAGGTTTTCATTCCAGATAGAAACACTTATTCTGGACGACCTTTTGTACCTGTATAATGTAAACGCGGTACGACTCTCATATCTGTATGAATCCTCTGTAGGAGCGAGGGAAAATTGGGAAAAAATAATCATCTGTATGTTGCAAGTTCATATAATTTGTAACAGCAGCAATTTAAAACTATTAAACCCCTGACTAATTTCTGGTATTCATTTATACTCCTGGGGAGAGAGGGGTACTGTGAGAGTAAATTATTTTGCACAAAAACAAAACACATGACCTGGCCAGGTTACAAATGCAGATCTCTTGACCCTGACTCCACCTCACTAATCATAAGACCACCATGTCTCCACAAGAGGAGAGAGTTTATGCTGAATCCTTTCTCATAAGAAACAACTTTTACAAAACCAAAGTAAAATTCTCTTATTTGATTTTTAAATGGGGAAGCAAAAGAAAAAGAAATATACATATCCCAAAAGTCTGCACACCCCCTCCCCTACTGCCTCCTTCTACTTGCTTTTCTGATGGTAATTTCGTTTCTAAGTATGAATTCACAAGGTAGTTTTCCATAACAAGAAATCCGAGATATTGATCATACTTGACCTCTCCAGGCCTTGGCCAAGAAACAATTATAAAGAAATGTGTGGGATGAAAAATAAATGTTCAAAATCTTCAAGGATCTTTCATTTTCTTGTCAAGATTTTTAGGGGTCTTTTATTTCCTTTCCAAGATCTTTAATTTTCTTGCCAAGATCTTTACGGATCTTCAAAATTTTCCAGCTAGGATCGTTCAGGATTTTGGCAGGAAAGTAAAAGATCCTTGAAGATCTTGGCAAGAAAATGAGAGATCTTCAAAGATCTTAACAAGAATTTAGAAGATCCTCAAAGAATTTTCAAAGATCTTTCAAGGATCTTTGAAGTTCTTGTCAAGATTTTTCGAGATCCGGACAAGATCTTCGAGGATCTTGACAGGAAAATTAAAGATCCTTAAAGATCTTGGCAAGAAAATGAAAGATCCTTGAAGATCTTGACAAGAACTTTAAAGATCCTTGAAGATCCTGGCAAGAGAATGAAATATCCCTGAAGATCTTAACGATAATTTTGAAGATCTTAAAAGGTTCTCATAAAGATCTTGTAGGATCGTTAAAGATCCTTCAAAGATTTTCACCAGGGATGTATCACAACAAGTCAAAAAATATAGAAAGCGCTCGCCGCATCGGCACCTTTTTTCGTTGTTTTGGTAGCCACTTTGGAAATTTAGCCAGGCATTTTAAGGTAGGTAATTCAAATGTGATATATTGTAGTGTACACGTAAATACGCTAGTCATAAAATCAGCAGTCCACTGTTTGCAACTCTGCAAAATTATCATGATAATATGCGAAACTTTGTTCGACCATTTCCGCTTGTCGACAAGTCTTTCCACTTGATACAATTTTACTCCGGGTTTATATTTCCTTTTGCTTTTATAAGCAATAATAATCTACACGATCTTTACTTCTTACCGATCGCGCCATGTTGTTTTTTTGCAACCACACCTTCGGGCATGCTCCGTAGAACTTTGAGTACACCACAGTCAGGGGGTATGGCACTAACGAAATGACTCGGATTAATTGTAATGTTTTCTTTCTTTCATATTGGACTATTTCCTTCTGTCATTTCAAACTAAACTAATAGATGAATATTCGCCGCCCAAAATGCCTTCAATGAAAATCACCAACGGGTAGCACTCATGATTTTATGTAGAATAAACAGATGCAATTAGGCAATCTCATTTCAAATTTTCGTTAAATTTCCGACTCGAGTTATGACGAACAAGAACGAGGAGCATGTGGTTCACTCGTTAATTTATGTAGGACAAAAAAAAAGCAAAGAAGACGACCAATTATTCCAAAATCTATGTGCGAGCTGGATTTCAGCTTTTTTTTTTTTCATTTTCTACAGGTGTGCTGATAAATATTCAGTTACGCTGTGTTCTTAATATAACCTACATTTTTCAAAAGAAGTCAAATGATGTGTTAAAGAATTCGTATTTTGATTTGTCGCCTTAAATTTTTCTCTGACTGAAAATACCTACCAAGTTTTATATCATTTAATAAGCAAGGAGCGTTTACATCTCCCTCGAAACATATGTTTGTGACAACTGCTTCCTCTTTCAATTTCTATAATGCGAACAGGATATACAACGTTGACGGTAGTTTATAATCAAAATAAAAAGGAAAAAGGCTTCCAGATTATCTCGTAACACTCAGTTTTCTCGGATCTCACTAAATATTCTTCTAAAAAAATAGAATAAGCAGGGACACAGCACTTTAGATCGATAACATTTTCATAACTTGCTCTTGTCTGCGATCATATGGTCTAGTGTGTTGTTGCCGGCTCACTTTGCTGAAAGACCTATATGAAACCAGGACCCCACGCCTCATACCGGATTGTCTATATTTTACAATGTAATAAGTTTTTCTTTGTTAATACAAACTGGCAATGTTACTGATGGAACACTGCGAGTGGGTGAGACAAAAATCAACTTGGTCTAATTAATTATTTCAGAGCTTACCTTAAAACGACGTTTCGTCAGCGATGCAGCGTTGAATTCGTCCTTAAGAACCTGTTAAATTTGTAAAATTTTGCAAGACCGAAGATATTTTGATGAGTTCTTCAGAAGGTGACTTATAACACGAACGGTGTCGAGAGGGTACTCTTTTCCTAGTGATCTCACGACGTAGGAATATTTTGATTTTACTCCTCTGAAATTTAGCTCGTGATAACTTAGAAGCAACGCTTCGAGCTGGAGATGGCAAGCGTTAAAATTTCTCGCTGCCACTAAAGATGTTTACTTGACCGCGACAGGATGCAAATGACTCACTTTTTGTTTCACGACCATACTGATGTTTTTACCATTGCGTGACATTCTCAGGAAAACCAAAAGTTGATGATACATTGTGAACTTTCCCGAGGAAATGAGTCATGAATAGTGAATAATACCCGGGTGCGCGTAAATGTGAATTTGGTTGGTGGAATACAATTCAAGCACGTAAAAAATTGACTAATGTTCGTGTAGTGCAATGACTGAGTATGTTCTAACGGACTTCGGACGTTGTTTTTATGGTACGTGATGGAACGTGAGTTAGTAGGCATGTAACAGAAAAAAGAGCATGACTTTCAGACAGACGAAAATATCCCGTTACTTCACCTTGAGAGAAAAAAACTTAACTTATCTGAACTCACACCACAGGCAGCCCAAGCTCCAGGTGTGAGATGATCATCTTGCGAAATAAGATTCAAGGTGATTTTTTCGGATTTTCTTCATCTGGCGGTGACATACCTGAGTATTTTTAGGAGCTGTGCCGTATTTTTTGACTTCCCCACAGGCTCGTCGAATTCAAACAAGGAGTCAAAATACTAGGGAATACTACACGCCAATGAATTGTCTACTAGGTTATTTATGATCCAACTGCTTTTTTTTCCGCCAAGTCTTTCTGCTCATTTCTAATAAGGCGGGAAAAGCAAAGCGGATAGAGAAGCGCAGCGTGTGTAGTCGACCGGTTAAAGATGTTTTCATAACAGAACAAAATAACCAACTGTACAATACTGCAGTACACATGTGGTATATATATTCGCGTTCTTTAAACTCTACTTTATGCAGCTGGGTCGTAAAATCAAATTATCTTGTTATAACCCTCACCGACGCAGCACTACAGTTTCCTTAGAAACTAAACCTATTTATTCATA